GCAAAACCACTGATAATGCTTCAGATTCAGACATAACAGATACAGTATTTTCTTGCTTAGCAAACTCGAGGCATAACATGTATTCACAATAGCTGGCGTTTCGGCAGTTTCGCTTTATTCAGAGCTTGAAAAGGTTAAATTTGCAATCTACAAGCATTCTATTCACTCAAACACTTTCACAACGCAAGGGGAAAAGAACATCAGCTAGTTTGTAACCCCTTTAATGACCTCCAGTTTATAACACAAAACTGCATAATTTTTCCTGATGCTAGAGACGGTCGTCGCACGGGTCCAGGTACGGTGCACCTGATCTTTTGTAAAGCGCCGGACGAAGAAGAGATTGGCGAAATGAATAGGCCATTTGTTTCTCTAAGAAAGAAGGGAAAGCTTAAAGTCAAACAAAACACTTCACTAGGCACGCATACGGCACAACAACACAGAGGAAAAGTTTTCGAAGTAAAAGTCACTATACTTGCAGAGGAATCTAAAACATCACCGTGCAAAACCCTTGAGGCGTTATGTATAAATTCCGGAAATTAAAGATGACCCACAAAGAGGAGTGTCCTGTGATCACGCGTGACCTTGTGGCATACCTCAGGCCGACTTTTTGACATAGTCAAGGCACTCTCCCACCCGTGCAGGGCTCTGTGCGACTGATCTCCAACAACTGGAAAATTTATAAAGAACAAAACAGTGAGTTGAGGCTATAGCTATAATTACAATCTTAACCTTTTTATTTACTGCTATTCTTTTTAACGGCAGGATATGTTGCGAAATATAACTTCTATAATGCTGAGATATTTGCAAAACTCCGAACCGTAAATGTCTGCGGTGGGACAGGTGTATACTGATAGCAAAAGATCGATAGAACTAGTTGAGAGACAGGCGAAACGAAGGACTCGCATGGTGTGGTGGTGAACGCGTTACTCCCCGGAAAGGAAAATAGCGCGTTCTTTCCCCACCGCAGACACCTGCGGTCCGGAGTTTTGAAAATATCTCAGCATTATAGAAAACAGTGAGTCTTAAAAAAGCCTTTTATTGCACGAATGGGATTTATGTAAAGGACAAAATGAAGGATAAAACCCTTAGGGTTGATGAACTCCTGAGGAATACGTCGTGCATTCGGTTTCATCAAACATCATTAGAGGTGTTCGAATGTATATCTGGCCTATAAGACGGCCTATGGGTGTATCGAGCCAGCGCTTCTATCCTCACAGAATAGGCCTTGAACCAGACCTCAAAAGCGTGGAAGGGTTTTGAGCTGGGGTGCGGGATCGAACCAATTTGTATGGGTGCAGGGTGTCGCTAACGACTGCGCTACACCAGCCTCTGAAATTTTTGTATTAAGTTCTCTTTGTTTGCTCTAGACAAGCCTTTTACTGAGTAGATTGCACGTCAATTTGACGTTTCAAGGCTCTGAAGAAGGTGAAATTGCTGAGCCGCCGGGTGAATAGATATTGTAATAACAACCTCGTGTCTGCTCATCAAGATAACAGTGAATTATTGACCAGTGCCGAGATTGATAGAAAGCCGACTCTTGGATTAGAAACAGACACATTTTAGAAACTTTCTATTTAGTATAGAGCGTGCGGAAAGTGTAGTGCGGTGGTAGAGATCCCACTCAATACACAGGAGTTCACTCGTTCCACTTCGTCCTTGCCAAGGCATAACACTCATACATTCTGGGTCGAAAACTCAGCACTGGGTTTGTCTTGAAAGCTCTTTCCCGATACGTAAAAGTAACCGAATATTGTGGTGAGGACTTGTAAATGCCCTAGCGCAACAATTTCAGGATTCCAGGAAGAATTTACTCGGCTAGTCTTCAACAACAATCATAAACAAGACCAGAAATCTGCAAGCAGAAGTTGAACCTAGTCTCAAATCGGAGGTCCTTCACCGACAATGTATACGAGGAAGCGTATGGAATGGCAGTACTTGGATTCCTCACATGATATCGCGCCAAATAAAAAAGGAAAAAGCGCAGAGCGTGGTTTTCATTGCTTCGCTTGCATCTACGACATAGCTTGGATTACTCCATACCAGCCCATGGGTGATCGCCTGACTTAGACATGGAGCTCGTTAAACTTCACAATGTGGTAGCATATGTTTTTTTCGTTTTTTCCTGTATATGTTTCAACAATGTTTAACTATTTATTTACTGCCAATTATTTCTTATGGCAAAATATTACGTAAACTACAACTGCAATTATACTGAGACATTAGCAAGCGTTGGACTCCAAACCAGATTTGCACCTGCGATTACCCTTTCCGGGGGTTCACGTGTTAACCAAGGCGTCACTGGGGTTGTTGCTTTGCCTTTCGCTCAGCCAGTTTTTTACACTAACGGTGCCATCAGCAATCACCCGTCACCAGAAATGGTCTAGGTATCGAAATCGGCGTTGAACTCGGTTAGCCTGAGGCTGTTATGGAAATCACAATGCACAACACTTTACTTAATGCTTATTATTTTTCATGGAGGAGTGTTAATAGGGTAGAGTAGAGCACGGAGCAAAGTGAATTACAGAAGCAACGATTTATACCTTCTTCGAGTATTCAGCTAGCGCAAGGTGGATAAAAATGTAAAGGAACGACGTTAAGAAATATGAGAAGTGAAAAGTGATGGATGATAGACGTAATGTGAGAGAGTTGAAGAAACAATGATTTATGTTGCAACAACATTCTTTTCGAACATTGCACTATTATTTATCATTGCAAGGCCTATCTTATGTTCTTTCGCTCCCTATAATTGAATTACAATATGAATGAGGTTTTCGAGAAATTCTAGGCATTAGGATTTCGAATGTAAAATCGGCCACAACAAGTCTCCTATGAATTCTAACTCGGTCGAAGTGCTGCCAGATGATCGAAACATATAAGATATGGGGGCCAACGAAGTACTGTCAAACGTATAGTGCGGTACCGCAAGGAAAACATTGAATCACTGATCAACGCCGAGATTAAGAAAAAGGCGGTCTTGGGGTTTGCACAATGCAGTGTTAGTTGGGAAAACTTCATGGTGGCGAATTCGTGCTTAAAATCGAACATCAATTTCAGGAAGATCTAGTACCACTGAATAATCAGAGTTAGCTAATGTCATCATCAACATCACTCCGGGCATCATTTTTATTAGCCTCACTTTTAATTATTAATTACAACCGAGCTCAACGTATTATTTCGATGAATTTTAACACAAATGAAAGGCCTCTCGTGCATTACTGATTAAGCCATACTTCGCTGACCCCATATCTTATGTGTTTCGATCATCTGGCAGCACTACAACCGAGTTAGAATTCATAGGAGACTTGTTGTGGCCGATTTTACATTCGAAATTCTTTAGTACCAAACTGCCGATGGAAAAGTGGCTTAGTTGGGTTGTGCAAGCCAAGGACCAAACATGTCACCCTCTGATCTGCATCCGTCTCACTGTATTTTAAAGGTAATAATAAACCTTCAGACGTTTGCAGTAGAGGTGTTCAAGTGAATGTACCGACAGAAGAAGCGCATTTAGAACATTTGTGGATCATTTTGTTACTAGCGCATTAAATTTTCATTTCAACAACTGGCTGAGTGCACGCGATGAGCGCTTCATTGAAATGCGTTACGACCCTGCCACATAGAATTCGACACGAAGGCTCAACTACAGCATTTCATCCGAGAAGGTTCCCCATGCTACAAACTGACCATTGATATTCCTCAGAATTTCTTCAGCAATATTTGTAGGTAGCCCTCAAAGCTATTAATCGGGTTGTTTTCGCTTCAAAATGACAAAGTCTATAAAAAATGTGTTTTTGAGTACAAAGTACAAAGTACTTCGGAGAAATCTGAAGAAACGAGACAAACTAGACGAGATAGTGAATCGAATTTGACTACAAATTGGAGGCCTTTTACGATCTATATACTTCTTAATGACGTTGCCCTTTTCACTGAACGGCCAATCAGCACAAACTAGACTAAAATTTCAATGATTCGAAACCTCAATGATAGGGTTTTCGGCTTAAGAACTAGACAAACAATCTCGCTTAGGACGGTAAGACGATGAAAAAGTGCGTAGAGTTACAGATGTGTGAACTCCGTGAATGTTGTTAACAGCATCGAGATGGTAGAGATTGGTAGAGTTCTAGGTTAGCCACCAAACACGGGTCCGTTCATGGGAATACAAATTGCATTGGAAAACTTTATGATTTTTCGGCCTCACTCTTTGCTTCTTCATTATAACTCGGCTTAGCTTTTCTATATTTTTTCAGCCATATAAATTTAATGACGAGACTTTCAACGCTATCAGACCTTAAGCGATGGGTTACGCATTTACCGTCGCCAAGCAGCGTGGTCGCGTATACAATGACTCGCACTAGAGTACCAATCCAACAAATCAGTTTATTTTACCCATTTAGATAATTTGGTAAAAAATCATCCATCAAAGAGGGTTTAACGCTTTGCTTTACTTAACGGTTGCATCAACGACAAATTCTGTATTGCAAAACAACTATAACCAGTAAACTAGACGTGTATTGCTATAACATTAGAAAACAAAAGAAATTTTATGTATTTTTATTTGCGTGTATGTGTGTCCGACTCTGTGTACCTGTCTGCAGTATGCAGTGAAAGATGTGATGAAATCAGTTTATACATTTCAGATGCTTACATAAGGAATCACTGTGGAAATCATTTACCGCAACTGTACAGTCCCATTAATAAAGGACATGAACAGTGAACATTCCCGAACGAACGAAGCGCTAATGATCGCTACTGCTAGAATGCGAGAAAGTGATCATCTATGAAGAGAAAATCGCAGCGACGAAATACACTCAGCGACAACCCATTTCAATCACAGACATGAACAGATGACTAGTGAGGAGATGGGAATGATGTGATGAAAAGAATATCTCCAAAACATTAGACATCCGAATATGTGCACTAAAAAATCCACATCACCAGCGAATAGTCAGTTAGTTAATTGTGAAGACGATTTCCCGGAAGACAGAAGGACGTCACATCGGCGCCTACGGTCGCCATTTTTGAGTCGGAGCACCGCCCAAATGCAACCATACGGTTTCGAACTCAGATTCTAGGATTTCGGCGCCTTTCTTTCGTGTCAAGCCAGTCTGATCGAGCGGAATTTCGCACATTCGAAGGTCATCTCGACCTGAAACAACGAACAGCCATAACAATACAACACACTTGATGTCTTCCAGAGAGGAAAATAACAAAGCACGTTTATTGATGAGAAAAGAAAGTTAGGAATTCCATTGTTCCCTATGCTTAAATGTGAAAACCACGATGTTGGTCGTTTAAAATAACTGAGGCTTCCGTTGAATTCACATGGAAGGGAATTGCTGCATATTTAAGGAACTCTAGAAAGTAATTCCCAGAATCGACTTCCCATTAAATTTGCCGTTGATTAATAATTCAGTGCTCTCTTAGTGAGCAAACACGAGATTGCTACCAAAAAGGAAGACGACGAATAAAAAAGCGGCAATTGAATAAAAGAATGAACAAGTAAAGGATAAAGTTGATCAATCCCTGAGGGATGCGCCCTGCATTCAACTTCACTGAACACCGTTAGGAGGTGATTGAATGCATATCCGGCCTTTACAATGACTCGCGGTGGCCTACCGATGTATCGAGCCAGTGCTGCTATCCTCCCAGACAAGTCTGGCACCAATTTGCCGACCCAGAGGGATGAAAGACTTGGCGAGCCACCGGCGTAGAAATGGATCCCATGTGTGTATTGCACAGCGCCTCCGACAACTGAGCTACGTGCATCGCTATGAATGAGTAAGACAGTAGTAAATACTAATAAAATTGAAATAAAAAAATAAATCAAAAGTTTCAAATAACGTGATATGACGCTAAGACAAAACTCCGAACCGCAGGTGTCTGAAGTGGGGATTGAACACGCTAATACCTTTTCCGGGAGCTAACGAATTCACCACCACACCATACGGGTCCTTCATTTCACCTGTCTCAGCTAGTTTTCTATCGATCAGCGATCACCCGTAAATGGTATTAATCTGGGGAGCCCAAATCGGCAGCCAACCCAGTTAAGCTGAGGCTGTAATCGAAATCACAATGCTAACTGTTTTTGCGCGGGCGGAGGGACAAAGTAAACGAAGTGCATTGCATCCTATTCATTCTCTTTTCAGTGGTTGTTCCTATAAGTGCGGCTTTTTTCACGCATTTTCTTTTGTGTTCAATCAACATACCTTGTGCTATGTGGACTTTATAAAAACTTACAAAAAAGTATATCAAAAAATCACCAGCAACAAGCAGCACAGGTGTCTTGTTGGGATGCATTTCGATTTGTCGTTGAATCCATTGACCGTTGAAATGCGCATACCACAATCCATTCTGCACGGAACGAGAATCTGTGATTAGTCCTGAACTGAGCACGTCTAACTATTCAACACGTAACAAAACCAGGAAAAGCTCCTTCCTAAATATTTTTTCAACACGACATGTTAGTGGACATTAGTGAATTATTGAGCCGATCACATAAAACCATAAACAGAGTATCTAAAGATTTGACAGCTACAGACACTTCTTTTGAAATTCCAGCTGCCAAGACCCGTTGAAGTCCAAAAAAAGTGTTAAAGTTTCAAATCTGTTTCTTAAATATTACAATGTGAGGACCTGTCTCAACAACCAATGGATGTGTGGTATCTTGAGTACTATTTATAGTGCTATACACGTTTTTCTCAGAGGAAGTGTGAAGTTCGTCCAATAAGGTGCCGAAATCATCCACGACGAAGTTAGTTCGATCAACGTCTTCAGAGAAAAATTTGTCCTTTCGCAGCTCCTTATTTAGCGTCGGTTCAATAAGCTTTCAGAAATGGAAACATGAAAACTCGTACTAGTGACTCCAGCGAGCTGTGCAAAATTGGACCGAAGAGGTCGTTTGAAAAATGTCTTTGTCATAACTCCTCGTAACAGTGAGAAAAAGATAACAGCAACGTTTTATCTTCGAAACGCAGGCATTCAGTCTATGGAAAGCACTCTTCCGGTGGCGAGTTAAATGAAACATAAAAGAGTAAGTGAGCGAAGTTCCCAAGAATATAAAGGTTCGGCAAAGAAAGTTTTAAATATCTGCAAAGTATCTGTTAAGCCAATCGAGCTTCGCTAAGAAAAATCTTGCATAGGAACACTGAACACCATAGTGTACGCCTTTCTCATTTTACAGTTTTCGATTTGAAAATGTTCAACGACTAGGCCGAGCTGCAAAACGGCGGAAAATTTAAGGTTTCTGAAGAAGTTTCTTGTAGTTTTTCTTCCACAAGCAATCTACACTAGCGATATTATTGCATAATAAAAAAGATGAAGCTGTCGGCATTGATCAGTCCGTGAGAGATGCGCCATGCGTTCGTCTTCATTATGCATCGCTTAGAGTTGATTGAATGCATATCTAGCCTTTACAGTGACTTGCCGTGGCCTACCGATGCATCGAATCAGTGCTACTGTCCTTCCAGACGAATCTGCTACCAATTTGTCGACGCCGGACAGATGGAAAGCTTGGCGGGCAATGGGCGCAAGGATCGATACCACGTATGTGTTGCAAGGCACCTCCGACCACTGCGCTGCACACATCCCTTTATTATTGCATAATATGAATGAAAATGGAAGACGTCGTTTATTTCGCGCTCCAATCTAAATCTAAACTAACACCCATGTTCACGTAATTTCAGAAGTTTCTGATCTATAGATGTTTCAAACATTTTTGTTCTAGGAAATATCGTCATATCATTAACATTGCCTTTAAAACTCCGAGAAGATGACAAATTCGAAGAAACTATTACTATTTGTTCATTACTGGCAGCTATAACAAGCACAGGAAAAAACGTCGCTTATGACAGAACAAGCCTTTCTCCACACTCCATGAATAAAAGACGTCACCTTCAAACGAAAAAAGAGGAACTATACCGCATATAGAATTCACTTGAGAACCACATGCCACATAAAACTCACCGTTATTATTATTATTCTTGTAAATATCAGCTGGGCGCGTAAATGGGACCTTGAAATATCTTTGCATTGTCAGAGCTGGATTCACCTGCGGTGCAATAATTGAACGTTCTGAAACTAAACATCATCATTTCTAAGTGATTTGCGCTTTGATGAAAGTGGTTGGCGGTTTGCTGTGCTACAGTGTCTGGCTTCGTTAAAGGACCACATCACATATGATTGTATCTGGGTGCTTGATTCATACGAAAAAGAATACAGCGCTAAAAGACTTTCTAATTCATAACTTTGAAGTGATTCAAACCAGGCATCAGCTACTGCGACAACAAATAAACTAAGAGCTGATACTGGAGCCGAGTTATTCTGCCGTGGCTGTCGCTTTCATAGAGGTCCTAATTAACAATTGCACTATTTCTTTCAAACCAACGAACAGCTACTGGCCTATGAAATGTCATCAAAAACAGCAGCATCATAGTAGCAACATACGGTCATTGGATAGGGACATAACGTTTTTCTTTGGGTTAATGAAAAATCAAAAACAAAAGGTAGAAAATTACTTTGTGCGTTTGCATAGACAGCGTTCGGTGCTCTTGGTGCAGCAGCTGAGTTGCATTCACTTTGATTCCGTGACTTCCAAGCGTTGTAGATACGAAGACGACGATGGAACTCCTCCTTACACGCCAGCAACAGATCCATATCTTTAAGGTTTCATTGGAATGACGATTACGGTAAATGCGAGGAACCTGACTGCGATTGAACAACACACAGCTAATTTTAAAGGGAGAACTACTACTAGTCTATGATCACCACCAAAATCCAATACCTAGTATGTCTCCCAGCAAAGTTTTCATCAATCAAAATTATCGATAACCTAATGAAGATGATAATCGTGGTTTGAAGAGGGTTTGAATAAAACTTAGATTAAGAGAGGTCGATTATTCACAGCGAAAAAACACTAGAATCCTCACTCAGACCAGATATCCCTCGAAACTCATCAAGGATGAAACCATTCGCTCACATTTATCTCACTTTCATGTTGTTAGACTCGTGCTCTTTAATACCAGTTACCTCTCTCAGATCGATTCCCGAAAAAAAACAATTAAAGAGCGCATTAGAATCATTCAATAATCCCTTTTTCACCAGTCGTTCTCCTGTCTACGTTAGCAACTTTTTTCCTTTCTAGCGAATGCCTTCCAAGTGGCCTAATTTCTCTCGGGAAATCGCTCTCGACGTTTGCAAATGAAAAAACTGACAAATCAATGGAGTGCTCATTAGAATTAAATAACACAATTGAATGCCATCTTATCAAATCGCTGGAAAATTTTTGGAGAAGCCATCTGCTCTCACATATCATACCATTACATGAAGGCTTTCTACACAAGTCTGGTGCCAATTATCCGACTCAGAAGGAATGGAATGTTAAACGAGTCCGGAACGCATGACCGAACCATCGACCACGTGCATTTTGCAGCCACATCTAACAACTATGCTATGTCCTCTTTCAGCTCATTTTTATACCTTGTCATACTGTCATACTTTATACTTGACACCGTCAACATCTAGATGGATTCTTACACATCACAATCACGAAGAATCTCATTAGGTTCAGGAGAATTGAGGCATTTTTCATTAAACATTCAACTAATCATGACCTATTGACCGGATTTCACTGATTTTCTTCAATTCAGTGAATTAACAGTCGGAAGAAATAGTGTAACGACTGATGACCCTTGTGTAGTATTGGATGATGGAATTCTTTATCTTATGAAAAAAACGACAGCCAAACCCAAAAAGAAGTGTCACATAACTCCCAGTTCACTCCACACCTTATCCAGTCATCCTTCTAAGATGTTCTTAGTCTGGGCCTTGTTCTCTAAGCATAAAGACGAATGCACATCATCACTTAAATAACCCATCTTCATGAGTTATTGAGCCTTAACACACGTTCTTCTTGCGATTATGATCCTTGGTGACCACCTGCTCTCAGCACATTGACTTTTGCGTCCATCGATTGCTAATGCATAAATTAATTCCAACTGCGAAAACAACTGGCTGACGGTGGCCACCAGCACTCAAAGAATTCTTCGCATATTGTAGGCTGTTGTCACAGAGGACGCATGCACTGCTCTTTGGGTCTACTCTGCTATTCTTCTCATCCATCGGTTGCAAAATCTTCTCATTCTTGATCGGCTCGCCTGTTTTGCTATCGGTTTACGTTCTTTCTGATCTAGAAGATAGACTTCTTGGTGGTCTGAACGAACTATATCATTCACCTTGACTTTACGGGGCTAATTTTAAAAGACTTTATACAAGAGCTTCGTGAGTGGTGGTTAAAATTACCTATATGGTTGAGGTGTCAACTGATACTGAGAGAACTAATGAACCCAAAAGATGAACGCAGAGTTCCAAGTTGATTAGCTGACATAGCTTTTCTAAAAATTTTCGCGAGATTCATATTATTCTCCTTCTCTACATAATACTTCCTTGATATCGCTTCCTGTGTTCTTCGAACAGGTAACACGTAGAATATGGTCTTCGTAATTAAAGAACCATTCATTTCGTTGGCAGTTCATCTCGTTTTGTGTCCTTGCCAAAACGAAGGTTTGATTGGAATTGTCTATCAAGGCGTCTGCTCTTTTCGCCCCAATCAAGCCAACGGCTTTGGCAAAACAGCGATGCTCCTTCGTGGAACACTTTCCCTATGGGGATAGTAAGAGGTCGATGGAAGAACAACAGCTTTATGCTGATGGCGTTGTTGCAGTGTGCAATCGACGAGTGCCGATAGAGTGGTGACCCTCATCTCTACGCTACCCTATTTTTCCGTAGGCGACAAAGATTATGGCAAAGGAGCAAGACGTACTTATGGTCCCAGCTATGCTTTGAAAGTAACCCACATCAAATAAGGAAGAGTCGCAACTAGAATGTGCGTTTAGATATAACTATGTGTATGGCTTTTGTATCGTGTGTAAACATAAGTGATGCCTAACGGTGTGCATACGCGTTGTGTGTGGTTATGTCTATGTGGTGAGTGGTAAATGTTGTTTAGTCTTACTTATGTAATCGTAAGTGTAAGCTATAATCTAACCTGTGCTGGTGTTGATAGCATCTCTGAGTTCAGCATAACGCCATGCAGACAAATCGTGTTTCCCTTTTGGCTTCGACGAATCTGTCGATGAGCTCGTTGACCTGAATAAGCACCACATGCTGAACGATCAGCACTTTATCGGGCTCTGATTTCTGTGATGAAAATCGAACCACTGATCTATACGGTGATAGGTTAAGTCTTTTGGCATTTACTTATCAAAACATCATTTCATTAAGAACGATAAGCTTTACCAGTGTCGCAGTTTTCCACAAAGATATTAGACACGAGCGAAAATTCCCTAACGGAACACCGAAGCAAATTAAAGGAATGAAACATTGAGGAAGGTCTCACATGCTTGTCGTAGGCGTGTCGATCATCGCTCGACCGCTGTCACGCGACAATCTCGTCGCAATCATCCCATCCAGCTGTTCACGTTCTGCTGCTGCCAATCTGCAACAACCGTTAAATGGCTCCATATAGACGAGTTGATCTCTGAAAGCGACAACTATATACATACCTTTGCTCCTCTGCGATTCGCAACGCTTCTGCCTGTTTTGCATCGGCAGCCATAGCCTGTTGATAGCGATGTTCTTCCTTCTCTCGCTTTTCTTCCAGTCGCTTACGCCTAAGATAAATTCAGAGGTTTTCTTAGTTGAAATTCGTGGGTAAAAGTCGAAATGCCTTAGAAATAATGCGGAAAGGTGAAGGAGATTAGAAAGAAGTCGTGCACATAAAAGTGCACATAAACGTGATTACCCTCGTTTTTATTTGTGATTTGACTGTCTTTAAAAAGCACAGTAAATAATTTTAAATCCAAAAAATAACTTCTCCTAATTCGTCATCGAGTCGGTGTGATCAATTTTCATGGCTTTTCCAAGATGAAGAAAAGTGACTAGAATTTGAAACTAGCAAAGCGCCACAGTAAGGGCTAAAAGAAACCAGTGGAATTACTCAGAAAAGGGAAGCCCAAGAGCTAACGACAGGCAAAATGGCACATTAGCGAAAGGAAATGGTCAAATTGAATGACATCCAAAAAAAGCAGGACTGGAAGATGAAAAAACGCAGAAAGTAGCGGCAATAAGAGAAACAACTGTTGGAAAACAGATGAAAGAGGAAGCATCGAAAGTAAATCCACTGCACCGGAAGATTATAACGAGCAAAAAAAAAGAGAAAGGAATTATCTTAGGAATTTCTGGACGAGTGGTTCAAAGTACAAAAGAGATCGCAGAAATCTTCAAGAAATGTTGGAAAGAAAGGTTGTAGATGTGTATCGATAAATTCATGGACAAGATATTCATGGGATTCCATTCTGCCAAATGTAAGACTCGTAATCCCTTTCGAGTGAATCCTAGCTTTCCAGGGCATTCTAGTAGCTGTGCGAAAAAAAGGACCACAGTAGTTGTTGGAAAAGCCACGCCCAACGGCCACACCCATTGCCAATTTCGTGGAGTTCCGAGGCGATACAGAAAACCTCCGTATGGCAAGAATGAGCAAAATTTCAGAATTACAATCCTGGTCATAGCACTTGCCCGATTCTTTTCAGTAACTTGAAGCCGTCAAGAGGGTTTGGGAGTGATTCGCCTACAGAATGAACGTTTGTTAACTTCTTTCCTCATTGACTTGCAGAGCGCTGATTCCTCTAAAACTTCAGATAGTCGTGCAATGGTGTTCTCAGGTTATCACAGGCAGTAGCCTGCTTAGATGGATCTGAAGGAAGGTTGCTGCTTTGTAACTCGGACTCCTCCACAACGACATCGCTTCAATTGACCGTACCGAATCCTGTGACTAGTTGACCGATTACTTTGGATATAATTTTAAACTGAAGGAAGTATAAACCATCTTCTAAGAAAGTGAAGACGACAGATGTTCGACTATTAACTCTGCATGAAGTGCGTAACACTAATTTCATCACTGTTTTCTTCACTGCTGACATCGAAGTGTGTGAAGAGAATAATGATGAAGTTTCAGACGAAAATTCCACCCTTCTACAAAATTTACTTTTTCTGGTAGTCCTAAGTTATAATGGTCTCAGCGCGCAGGCTTCAAAATTTCGACACATACGCACATTTTCAACTGGCTAACTAAAAGCTTCACTAGGGCATGATATCCAAACCAAAACAGGGAGCAATGAATTTTGCCATATCGGTAATCCCGATGACATGAAATCGAGAAGTGAATAATGTCAGAGTTCTTATCTCTTTCTCATTTCATACCGAGTGTCTAGGACACGGGTAACGCAGTGGAAATAATGCCGTTCATTACGATTCTGCCTCGACCTTCCATACCATTCTAGCAGGGACACTGGTATCAGGCTCGCCTGGCACTTGCACCACTGGCCCCATTATCTAATCCAAATGGGAACGCTCTAGGCTATTCCAAAACTCCAAAGACAATCGACTCGATCAACAATCCAACGAAATTTATGGTGAAGACGAAAATTCTCAAGCCGAAGCCCAAGTGGCACGCGAAAGTTCGAAGCTGCTTATGGACGATGGATGAGAGGAAACGAATTGAATGCAAGTGCTGAGGTTCGCAGATGTGAATATCTCGTAGTTTATGTTTAAAAAAAGGAAGAGAAGAATTTCAAGATTCTCATCTTCGTCTCATTCTATACCAATATGTAACACTCCATGTCTCGTCAACCCTCTGTTGTGAGGACATCGGGTAGTCTAAAAGACGGACGTGCTTGACCTGGTAGGGTGGAACTACGGACGCTGTTTGTGCACGCAGCGCTTTCATGCACTGCGCATAGCATGGTGGAAAAAGCTGGTTGGTTATGGTGAGGAAGAAACTGCAAGTGGATCCCTTATATAATATGATGTTAATTTTTAAGCCCCTCCAAGTCAAACCATATTGGAGGGCAATTCATATCGAGTGTCTATGCAATCGTGGCGAAATTTTATATTGGTCTTACATCCATTCTGGCAGAAAGCACTCGAAAATACATTTCAAGAATTTCATTGCCACTATAAAATGATGATGACTACTCTTTTTATTGCTATGACGTTCGTATCCACAAGAGTAAAAAATTCTCATAGAAGATAAAGCATAAAATAAAAGAGACGGCATCGGGAAAATGTGCAAAGCGAGCTATATTTAGAGGGAACACGAAGAAACGTTGTTATTCAGCCAAAGTCCGCAAGTCGCTTTCATTCGCTTTATTTAGGAGGCCCAATCCCACGGATTTTTATATTTTAATTGAAAGAGATGGCAAACTGCACAGCACAGGCAATAATCCTGTCTAGATAAACACCTCTTAGCGTTCAACCTCAAGCCTCAACTTTACAAAAATTACCGCTGCAAGGACAAAGGTTTTAACACCCCTCTCCCCACCTGTGTTCGTTTCGTGAAAGTTAAACTTCGATGTATGTACAGCGAATGAACCATTTCCTAGTTCTGGAGAGCCACCCTAAGTGAGAAGTAGCTCAACATTTCTATCTGACAGGTCAAATAAGGATGAGACTGTCCTATGGAAAACCCCGGTGAGCTAGTTAGGGATACCTTCCCGCCAAAACTACTATAAAAAGGACGCATGTGAGGCATTTAGTTTCGCATGGTTGAGTAAGCGTAATCCGCTGAGTAGTCCGGTACGATACGGAACAAATGGGGTTTTCCTGTGCCCTGTCGTGTTACTCGATAGTCAACAGGAATAAAACGTATGGGTGAATAGATGTGATTTAAGTTTATAGAACTAATTATACACTCTATAAAATTTGAAAAATGAAAAATGAGATTCTGATTAGTGATGCAAGAAGAACTTTCGGGGAAAACTTTTATAGACATTCTCTTGCAAGAATCTTGTAGCCATGATTTCATTCTAATTACGGCATTATGTGAAAAAGTGGCTAAAATGCATAATCGGATTTGAGATATTGTTACCTCAAATGCATCACTGAAATTCACAGGTGGATGGTCTCGACGACCGTGAAGTGGTGGCAGGCCGGTTCCGAGTGAGCCGTTCTCGTTCTCGGCGTCAAATCGATGTGGGGAAATGGCGGCGAAGCACGAGCACCATAAAAACAGTATCCATTCCCAAATGAATTAGCATCACGATGCACATTCTTCACATCAACAGATACATCCTACTTCAACGCCCAAATTGACGAAATCTGCTTGATAGGAAACGAAAACGAGCCGAAGTACAGCGGTGCAAAACTCCAGGCACAAATTCCTTGAATTCTTCTGCTCAACCTCGACCCAGTAAGTCTGCAGAAAATCTGGTTTTGGCCGCATACTTTGCATAACATAAATGACGCCAGCTTATAAAAAATCCACACTGCTAGATAGACTTCGTGGAAAGTAGAATTGCTCGCCATCTTCTATGCATTAGTAAGATTACGTGGAAGTCAGTCGTTGAAAGTCTTTTCTACTTCTCCCAGCCGTTAGTTCAGGTGCTTGGAAACCATTAAACTCGAAATAACCATGGTCAAACAGCCATGACACACTTCTACTGATTATCATCGGAAGTTCTAGAAGGCCACCTAAAGGCAAACAGGGTGGTCTACAACAAAACAAGAAAAAGACCTACCATATCCACATCTTACAGCTCTGTAGTCCTCAATGAACGCCCTCTGGGAGGAGATAGGTCCTCGTAAAGCAAATTGGCCAATTGCTGGTCATTGTGACGACAGCGAGCGGACGTTTCTTGCCAATGAGTAGGTATTTCCATCAGAGAAGGGTGCCGATATCCTACTGATGCAAGATCGTAGGGCGAGTCGAGGACACTGAGCATACGAAACAGCACGGGGTTGAACTTAGTATTCGTTTTGTATTATGAACAGTTATCTGGATACTAAACATTTCGACAATGAAAAAAGAACTACGGAAAAACAAGGAGTAATGGGTTGCTATGAGAGTCGTAACTTACTTTTAGAAGTCCATTCACTTCATTCAGTGCTTACGAATTTTGATGTTTAACGTTTTCATCAATCCCTCGAATTGTTAATTATAAAACAATATTAAATTTATATACGAGAACATATGACTAACCCGCCGAAGCAAATTTTTGAAAGCATTTTGATATCCAGAAGAACTTCTGCGACGAAATTTTTCAATGTACCCCAGAAGTACAAATGATACAGTAATTTCTCTTACGCAGAGGCGTACCCTTGCTACCGTAGTCCGTCGTTATTTACAAAAAGAACACGCAATTTTTCATTTAAATTCCCCTTTTACGAGTAAATTTCGAAAAAAATTTGTTAGTGATCAACATGACGGCAAGAGGAACCATCAAACCGGAGACAAGGCGACAAGGGATCAGTATAAGTCATGGTAAAGAAAATTAGGAAAAACGAGGATTAGGATGTGAATTCCGAAAGAGTGAAAGTAACATCGATTTGAAAGGTCCACACTTTCTTTTTTCTTCTTTGCAACAATGTATTATCAACAAAATAAATTCTATTCCCAACGTTGAGTCTCTCAGTTATAGATGCATAAACCTTATTCTTCTTGACAAAACGAATCTATGGATGACGTCATCGCAATAATTAAACAGCCATGTGGCTGGTTTATTGAAAGTTGAGTTTAGTTCACCAAAACTAGCCTCGGAAAGAAAGCAAAAAACTGTGACGTTCGAAACAGCACAGACGTTTTCGACAACCATGACGAAGTTGAATAAGTTCAGCT